TTATAAAATTTGCAGATGAAATTTGTTTTTATTTTAATGATGATGGTTATCGTAATGGTATTGAGACAGACCCATTCTTTAAATTCGAACGAAATCTCTGATAACGTCTCTGTCGAATCTAAATCAAAAAAAGAAGAAGAAATAGGAGGAGGAAAAAAAGAAATAAAAGAAAAACCAGAAAAAGAAGAAACAGGAGAACAAGAAGTAGGAAAAAAAACAGAAAAAGAAGAAACAGAAGGACAAGGAACAGACAAAGCAGAAACAGAAGGAATAGAAAGAACAGAAGGAGGAGAAACAGGAAAAGAAGGAACAGAAAAAAAAGAAACAAACGGAAACGAAAATATATTATGGTATATAACTCATGGTATATATGACTCAGTCGCAAATGTAATATATGGACTTTATAGGATACCTGTTACATTTTTTAAATATATATATAAAAGCATATAAGGATAGTATAGTATATCTATACAGTGGATTTATATACAGTGGATTTAATTAAAAATGAATAAATATAAAAATTTTTGTCAAATTTCTATATATAATACATTACATAAATTTCACTAAACAAATCAAACAGTATGTCATACAAATTGTTTTTCTTCAATTAAATAAAATTTTTAACAGAAAAATAATGTGTTGTGATTTTGTAAATGTCATATGATCATTTCAAACCTTTCGGTTGAAAAAATTTTATTTTTTTTTATAAAAGAGAGCGTTTATAGAAATATCTTCTTAGATTTTCAGAACTTTCCTATTTCTTTAATTTTTCTATTTTTCTTTTATTTTAAAAATTTCAAATTTTATTGGACTTTTAATGACCTCATAATCGGATGGTGTCACATTAAGAAAAGAAAGATGTGAGATGCCAAATAATCCATGCGTTTAGCTTTCTGAAATTTGTTTAACTTTGTATAATATTTTATTAGATACTATACATTGCATACTTATTCGCAATATAAGATATCGAGTGTGTGAATAAATTTATTTCTTAATTCATATAAAGAGAAGTTGTTTTACAATATCACGTTCATTAATATTCTTTTTTCTTTATTAATATTTGTCACAATTTGGTGAATATAAGTACATAATATCTCCCAGATCGTATAATTTTCTTGCGATTGTAAAATTACAAATTATCTGTCTCATCGAGCAAATTTTAAATTTTATCTGATGTCAAACATCAAAATAACTAATTTAAAAAAAAAAAAACATTTTATTCCTGTCACTCCCAATCTTATTTTATCTTTATGCTTCTCGAAACGAGGCTCTAAATTTTATACGAAAATTTCTGAAAGAAGTAATTAATCACACTATGATTATAAAATAACAACTTATCATAACGACCTTACAATCAGAAGACATTGTATTTTGAAATTATCTATCCATTTCGCGATTAATCTATGAATTATATACAAACGTTTCTTTTCAGCGTCTATCAAAACAGCGTATAATAAATCGATCATTGCGGAAAATATTGCTTGCCATATATGTATATATATAGGGTTAGGAAAAAGTCTGGATACCCCCGAAAATTTTGGAAACTAAGGGTTATGGAGGAAAACTTCAAATACAAAAGTTGTAAGATATCAAACGGAGCATCTCATGGTAACCATGACATTGACCTCGACAGCGACCTTCAGAATTGTTTCAAGATCAAGTTGTTTTTTTCAAATAGGAACCCTCATTTTTTATTGCAAAAATAAAAAGCGGGGGAAATTTGCTATCCAATGGTATAAGTAACATGGGGGGGGCGCAAATGTTATCTGGAGGTCATTTGACCTTCAAATTGTAAAAGATTAGCCTATAATTCGGAAACTAGTATAGTATTGATCTCATCGGATCATATCGGTTTTTAAATATTTTATTTTTAATCACTCTTTTAGATTTTTTATTTTTTTTTATGTACTTGGCGTATTTTTTTATTTTTATAAGGTTCTTTTTAGGGTATTATTTATTGCATTATATTTATTTATGTATTATTTATAGTTTAACGTCGCATAAGTTTTTTATATTATGAAAGTAAAAAAGAATAAAAAAAATTTATAATACAATACATATATGTCATTCGTTTTAACAATATCTTATCATGCCGATAAGTATTGGCTCCATTATGTGTTAGTCATATTTAATAGTTTCATGGTGATTGTTATGTCATTATGGTTATTATGATAATGTTGCTAATAAGCGTTTCAACTATACCATTTTATCATAAGATAAATATTCTCAGACAACACACATGTCCAAAAGACATCTAAAAGACGACTTAAAGACGTCTTAAAGTCCTCTAGACGTCTTTAAGACATCTTTTGGCCTTTTTGTGCTGTCTGGCTCTATTATATATTTTTTATAACTCATTATAAATAATATAAATATGGCTCATTATAAATTTTTTAGAACTTTTAAAATTTTTTTAAGTTTCTACGCATATATAAATAAAAAAACATTAGTTCAAGAAATTCATTGATAATTAAGATAATTCGTACAAAAAAATGTATACTTTAAAATGTTATCTTCAATTAATAACTTAGTTTTACTCACTGAAGATCTATAATTCACATATAGTTGTATTATTAAATGTTATGTCTTACCTCATGTAAATAATTTGATGTTTATAATAATTCTATCTGTAAATAATGTGATTTACAAGGATTGCATATTTATAAAGATTATATTTTCTGACAAAAATCTTGTATTAGATTTTCGAAGTAAGTGTAAATATTTGGATGAGGTATAGTGATTATTTAGATGAGATAATATAATACTTATTAATATTTTATTATTTATGTCTTCCTTAATGTATTTTTATCATTTTTTATTCTACAATAGCCGGAAAACATATTTATTGACTATTATATCAATATATACAAAAAGATGGTTATTCATGAGTACATTTTTATCACAATTAAGTAGACTCCATGAGCTCGGAGATAATTGATATAACTTTTTGTATAATTATACAAAATATTATATTATATAATATTATCTTTCTATATAATTATAAAAATTTGAGACAACTTATAATCAATCCGTAATTAATTATAATTATTTTATATATTTATTTTTAATAATTCTTCAAAAAATAAAACTTTAACAATGATGAATATAACTTTTAATAAACAAATTTAGTATTTAAAGTAAATGATTTTAATGAAAAAACACATTAAAGAAATACAAAATTATTTTTCCTTTCAAATTTTTGGTTTCTGATTTTCCTCTAATAAAATTTATCTAATTGTAAGTCTATTATTTCATTTAGCTAAAATTCTAATAAAAAATATTAAAAATAAAGGATATAAAATCATTATATATTAAAAATACCATTAAAATTTTTAAATATTAGAGAAAGTGTCTTTCTTTATTATTACATACATTATAGTGCATAATATACAAATGTGTATAAACTATATAGATTATTTTATAATTTTATATATATATATATATATATATATATATCTACACATACATATATAATTATATATATACATATATATATATATACACATACATATATTATATATATATATATATATATATATATATATATACATATACATACACATATATTTTGAAAAATCCGCTGTAACGCTGTCTCAAAAAATATAACAATTAAAAGTAAGAATAATAAGTATAATTCATAACAACAGAAATGCAGTCACTTGAAAAAAAATTAAGAATTCAAGTGACTGCATTTCTGTTGTTATGAATTATTATTCTTACTTTTAATTGTTATATTTTTTGAGACAGCGTTACAGCGGATTTTTCAAATTACCTATTTTTAGCATTACTGCTTTTAACAGTACCTTGTCGGTGCTATTACATTGCTTCTTATCATGAATTGGTAAAATATCGATACTCGATACATTCATCTTATCAAATAAGTAAAATTAATAACACATATTTATTATACATATCTATATAAGATAATAATTTACATATTATTGAGTGCTACGCAATATATAAAATTATTTTTTATAAATAATTAAAAGATAAATATCGTAAAGTATTAAAACTATTTTTTAAGATTTGTTTATTTAAAGATTATTTATTTTATATATTAGGTATATTATTTGTCTATTTTTTAATATATTTTTTAAAATTTTGTATCTGATCTTCTATAATTCCGCGCTCTTATATAATTTAAAAATAATAAATATATTATATTTAAATAAGCGAAGAAGTGAAAACGCGATACAAGATTTATTTTAATTTAAGAATTGATAAAAAGTAATTATCATTTATATCGCAATAAAATTATATATAATTTTACTATTCACTTGTTTCAGTTTCTATTTTTGAAATAAATAAATTTACTCGAAATATATTTTCCCGATAGATAATTATTGTCTCGATATGTTTATCATAAGATTTAAATAATTATTATTAATCGTGAATTATTTGTATATGATCGCATTTTCTCGTGGTATTTGTTTCAAGGAATAATGAGATGATACATCTACATACATCAAGTATAAAACGAGCGCAATCCAGCCAATTCGTTATTGTCATAAGATATTTAACGCATTTTATTATTAAGTAAATATATTTCATATATTTATTATCAAATATAATAAATCTCATGTACTTCTGTATTTGTCGTATATTTTTTATTTATTGTCCTATGTATTTAAATATTCTATTTCTGGTATTTTAATTTCAATTTAAATTAATTTTGCATCATTTTCGTATAATTTGCGCTTTGTTTTGTAAGTCTTGTTAGCGTTGCCTAAAATAAGATTAATTTGTTGTAAGTATTATCCTTCGATCGTAAATATTACAGCTAACACAATTTTTCTTTAATTAGCGAAACAGATGATAATAACATGAGAAGTATACAACAAATTTAATCGAGAATAAGTTCACTCTGAAACTGATATGAAAATATGTAAACTGTGCATATTAGTAATTGCTATAATTTAAAGATACAATTATATATAATATAGATGTGTATCTCAAAGATTAAATTTCTCAAAGATTAATATTTAATGTAAGCATTAAAAATGAATATTAAGGATTTCGAAGATAATAATATGCGACGTCATAGAAGAGGTTATTATGCAGATATTATTACAAGTGAGATTTCCATAATTATTACATTTGCAATTAAACAGAGATCGAAGTAACTCTAATTATATTACATATAATCATAATTTTGTAAATTGTGTAGGAACCAAAACAATTGATCTTTTACCTACTGCTTCGAGAAGGACCAAACTTATATGGCAAATTCGCACAGAACATCATAGTCCAATTGTGAAAAATATTAAAATACAGGAAACACATACTTATCTTGGTGCAGCAGAGCGATGGGTGACTTTGCCTGAAGATAAGTCTATTGTACGCAAATATATAATTATGCAAAAATAATTCGCTTCTATTGATTTGATTAATATGTTCTATTTAATTTTTTATTGATTTAATATGTATTCTTATCGATTTTATATGTAATATATTACAAAAATGTGATAATTTTAAATTATATTTTATAGGAATAAAAAAATGTTTAATTACATGAAAGGGAAAGTTTATTATAAATATAGTTTATTAAATATAGTTTATTATAAATATAAAAATAAAGAATTATATTTAATGAATTATATCAAAGATTTAAATTTGTTACTGCATGTTTTGATCGATGTTTTTTCATTTTTATTCCTAATCTTTACTTAAAATGTTTCTTGATATTTTATAATTTTTATTATATAATAAAGAGACACACATAAATTCTTATTTAATTTTCTAAAAAAACTGAAAGTATTTAATAATTTCTATTTTGAATTTTTATCTCTTTGAATAAAGGTTTTTCCAGCGGAGACATTTTTGCCAAAAGTACAAATGGAATGTACTATTGGACCAAAGATTCTGCCGCGCAACGTTGAAATGGAAAGAAGGCGAAGAATGTACAAAAATCTGAAAATAGAAGATGCTTTAGAAGCGGCAGGCATCAAAACATGTGACATATTATCGCCTGAAAATATCCAGACGTTATTTTCCTATGATGAAAAATATGATTTGTACTCCAAGGCAAATTATTTATCGTTGGAACTATTCGACGATGAAAAATATGATTGTAGGTAAGAATTACTTTAACATAATAAACATTACAAAAACTAATAAATTCAAGATGTTAAAAGAAAAATATATATGATAAATTAAAAAAATATTTCTATACATATTATCTTTATTAAATATAAAAATTATATCTAATAATATGCATTGTCATTTAATTAACTTATTTAAAAGTGCTTATTACAATTATTGAAAAAATATTGTGTAATATAATTAATTATTATATAAATTAATTATATAATTAATTGTTGAAAGTAAGATATTAAATTATAACGGAGTTTTTATATTATGCAAAAACAAGATAACAATTTAACTAAGACATGTTTTATATATATATATATATATATATATATATATATATATATTTCTTTTCTATTAGTATTATGCGATGTGAATACAATATGTGTGTTAAAATAGATGTAGTAGATGTAGTAGATGTAATAGAATAGAATTATAGAAATTTATAGAAATTTGCAACTCAATTTCGAGTTTCTGGCAAATTTTGATGGTAATAAATTCCAGAAACGTAGCTTCGTACTATGAAGCAATATTTGAGTAAATCATAGCAAATATATATTGCTATTAAAGTAAGTTATGCAGCTGAATATAATGTCAAATTAAAGCTCTGATATTAAACAAGCTCTTTAAAGTTTTTACATTACAAATTATTAAAAGTAAGTTATTAAATGTATTCATATATATATATATATATATATATAAAGACATAATTTAAACAATCAGTTATATTTATAATTTATATAAATTAAAATTATTATATTTTTGCATTGTAAAAAAATAAGGTATCTGCGTCTCTTTTAAATATATATATATATATATATATATATATATATATATATTAATTTTTTTATGTTTTCCAAAAAATTTTTTTGAATTAATTTGATATTATATACTAATATGGTATTATTTTCCCAATTATTAATATATAATTTATAATATACTGCGATTTAATAGAACGGTAGATGAATGGATAAATCTTGGCATCATCGATGGTGTTCGTTATCCGTTACCAGCTACGGTATTTGTTGAGAAGATTCTGGACAAAGAACGAATATTTGATGACAAGACGCTGAGTAACTTGTTCGGTTGGTTTCCTGCCGCCATTATCGATTACGATAACAAGCGGAAACTTTGGACTGTTCTCACTTTAGACGCTCTCAAGCGGAAATTCCTTTTGCCCAGAATATACATCCGATTCTTTGGAGAAGATCCTAGGAAATTTGCTGAAAGAATAGCTAATGCCGTCAAACAAAGAGAAATTGCTGAAGTTAGAATTAGGTTAATTTGTATATTTGAATACAAATTTATTTAACGATTTTAATATAAAAGTAAATCTTCTGCCACTAAAAGAGCAGTCTTAAAAATTAATTTAATTAAATATTTACAAATAAGTAATATATTTATAATTAAATATTTATGCTGTTTAATATTAACATATTTATATTTTTCAATTTTTATATTAATATGGGATTAATACAGTAGCATTATTTAATATATTAGCATTATTTTATAAAAGAAAATTACTTTCAATTTTAAACAGTTTTATATTATAAATCTACAAAATATTTAAAAATTTTTAGATTTTAAAATATATATAAGATATATATATATATATATATATATATATATATATATTGGAGATTGCCAAATAATCCACGTGTTTAGCTTTCTGAAATTTTTTTAACTTTGTATAATATTTTATTAGATACTATACATAGCATATTTATTCGCGATATAAGATGAATATAAATCGAGTGTGTGAATAAATTTATTTCTTAATTCATATAAAGAGAAAGTGTTTTACAATAACACGTTCATATTCACGTTAATATTTTTTTTTTTTTCAATAATTTTGTCACAATTTAATGAATATAAATACATAATATCTCCAAATTGTATAATTTTCTTGCGATTGTAAAATTACAAATTATCTGTCTCATCGAGCAAATTTCAAATTTTATCTGATGTCAAATATCAAAATCACTAATTTAAAAAAACATTTTAATCCTATCACTCTCAATCTTATTTTACTTTTATGCTTCTCGTAACGGAGGCTCTAAATTTTATACAAAAATTTCTGAAAGAAACAATTAATCGCACTATGATTATAAAATAACAACTTATCATAACGACCTTACAATCAGAAGACATTGTATTTTGAAATTTTTATCCATTTCGATTAATATTATGAATTATATACAAACGTTTCTTTTAAATTATAGCAATGCATTTTATAGAAATTTTTTATAGACATTTTATAGAAATTTTGCTCTTAAATCCTCCATGAATTAAATAATTAAATAATAATTAAAAACAATATGATATGAAATACTGAGGTTGTCAAAAATATATCATTTTTTTATATTTATATTATAATTTTAATTTATATGAATTTACTTTGTTTAAACAATTAGATATTCACTAGATACATATAATATTATTTGTTGCATTATATTTATTTACGTATTATTTATTTAGTACTCTAAAGTTTGATTGTTGTAAGCTAGATTGAAAAGCTTCGCAGGTCGTTTCGGACCAATATGTTGCCTGTTGCATATTCGTTTAAAGCTTATTTTATAAAAATGTAAATTGTACTTACTAAATGAAAGAATTAACAAATATATATTGTATAATCAATTTTTTATTTTATTCAAAAGATATAAACGACGGGGCGGAAGGGGGGGAAGGGCACGCCAAGTTTTCATATCTTACTTCGACATGAAAGTCATTTATGCGATTTAGAATTTGTGTAAAGCTTTTGTAAATTATATACATCATATAAAAAATGGTTTAGGAATTAAAGTAATCTTAACTCATTTAGTATCGATTACGAATTAATATCAAATTATTTATTGTACTTGGCTAATAGTTTTGATCTCATATCAGTTTTGAAATATTTTATTTTTATCACTCTTTTAGATTTTTTGACTTTTTTATGTATTTGGCGTATTTTTTTATAAGGTTTTTTTTAGGTAAAATATCTCGTAAAATATTCATTTTTTTCGTTTATCTTACCTTAATACTTGTATGCTCAAAATAATGAATAGTATAATTGCATACAGATATCACTTTTATTTGGACTGCATGGTAGTAGAAGATATGCCAACACTCGATGAAAAGCAACAAGAAGTTATAATTTTGTCAGCTACGCGACAAGGTTTCATGAAATATGAATTCAAACATCTTTCCAGCGTAGGTATATAATCGTATATATACTATTTATTTTCTCTAATTACTGAAGTTTTAATATAACATTTAGTTAACGGACGAAGTTATTTTGGATTATCGCCGCGTTATGTGCGATCTTATGTGGAGATCTCTTATAGAGAAAGAACCGGAAATGTTTAATTTCATTATATGGAGAGAAATTAATGATATTCACGAGTTCAATACACCGAAAACAGGAAAAATTTGCACCGAAATGGAAGATTTTACAGTATTTATGAAAGAACTTATGATATCGTTTGGTTTTCATTTTCGTTTGGTTTGCATTTTGATCATGAATTATAACTAACAATACCATTATAGAGAACGAAAAACTTTTTCCATTGGATAGTATTATACGTTGTGCCAGAAGTACACGAAGCTATGCAGTGTGTAGTCAATGAGTGTTTTCACGTATCGAATATGAATCTTTTCATGTCAACTTACGGAAAATCTGTACATTTGTCGGAATTCAAATCGCAGCAGCATCAAGAAACTAGCACAGTAATAAAGTATATGAAAGAAACATGGGTGGAAAAAATTACGCAATTAGTTAGATTGTGTTTAAGAGATGTCGGAAAAGGATGGTTTGATCTTGAGCAACGAAGACACGATGTGTATGATGTAATGAAATTGAAAAGATTCATGGATCTTATTGCATATCGAATGCAGGTATGCATATCCAAGTTTTTAAGAAAAAATCAATTGCATTTTATAATGTTTCAAGTTGTACAATATATTATACAATGAAATATGCTTAAATGCATTTACATGATTGTTTTCAATTATTAGATATGTCTATAATTCTCATCTAATATCTGATTAATTGAATTTGAATTAAATAAATAGAAGAGAAAATTAAAATAGAATTTTATTAAAAAATTAATAAAAAATATTTAAAAAATTATAAAAAATTATAAAAAATTAATTATAAGATTTATTATAAAAAATAAAAACGTCAGCTCAAACTCATATATTTAAAACTTTAGATTGTCAATGAGAACATAAAATGTATACAATACAATTGTTAAGATAATAAAATTTATTAATTTATAACGTATATATATATAAATTATGAATTTACAAATTAATTACATAACGTAACTAAAGATTCATAACGTAATAAAGCTTCAAAATTTTATAATTAATATATTTATAATATTTTATTTATCACCATAGAATGCGCTTCGGAATTTGGTGGAAAGGTCAATTGCTTTCTATTTAGAAATGTTGGAAACTCCAGCGCTTTGTACATTAAATATAGACGAAAATTTTACATGGGGAGACGACCTCATAAATACACAATTTAAATCTCCAGTAAATCCTATTTTTAATATTGATATCGCAATGAATGATAAAACTGCTTATTACTTAATGGATCTTGAATCATTTCAGGTATAGACATTTAATCATTTTCTTATGTTAATGTATAAATTAGATAATTAGTTTATAATTTATTTTACAATTAAAAAATATTTTTAAAAAAACACGCATGTTTAAGAATGTATTCGATATAATAATAATTTTATTGATTTTATTGTAAATTTGATTATAAATTATACATAAGTGATAAACTAGTTTGATAAACTAGTTTATTAATTTTCAGGAAGTGATTACAGATCTGTTAGACAATTCTTTGAGCCTATGTCATCAAATTAAACAAGTTCACCCTTTATTATTACCCTTCCTAAAGTTTCCCAAAGATTTGTATCTCAGTTCAGTCGGCTTACTAGAAAAGCAAGTTTGCGAAGTTCGCGATCGTTTAAGAACCGCTTATCGAAAGTCTGTGATACCCCTAAAGGCATATGCAAGCGAGTACCAGCAGTATTTAGGAATTTATAAATTGAACGTTGAAAAATATGTGGAGTGAGTATAGATTGCTGTGGGCGATTCATATCATTTAATCGATCAGGTCATTTAATCAATTTCTCGGAAATTTTTTCTAGAATTTTTAACTTTTTTTCTCAATTCTTACCAATTAAAATTAATTATAAAAACCTGTAAATACCGATTATTTTTTCTAACCATTATTTTTTGCAGGAATTTCAAAAAAGTGGATCACACCGCCGCGGAAGTCACAGATGAAATATCCTTTCACTTCAAAATGAAATCAATTCTCGAATTTACGCTGCCGAAGGAAATCGTCATAGGGCCTTTTCGAGTGAATATCCAACCTCTTAGACAATTTTTGATACAAAAGCGACAAAACTGTTGTACACAGTTACTTACAATGTTTACTGAGAGTCTAAGAACGCAGATCAATATCATTCTATCTAATTATATGCAAATTAGAACGAGATTAAAGGCAATTCCGCGCGACATCGAGCATTTATTCGAGGAACAAGACTGGATGGGAACCATACCTCAAATGGTCAAAGGTCTGGATAAAATTGTACAGAAGTTGAAGCACGAATACGATATTCTCGATCACTTTTGGTGGAATCTGTCAGATCAAGACTTCGAGGCTAAATGGCAAGCCATTGGCTTTCCTAGGCAAATACAGTTATATGTAAGATTCATCAATTTTCTATAAAAATACATCATTGTATGATCAATCAAAATATTGTTATATGATTAAATTTTCTAAAAAATATGAAATATTGGCATCTTTAACTATTTGTTAAAGATTGAAGCATCAAATTTTATAATACTAATATAATATAATATGAAAAAAAAGAGAGTACTATTTAAAATTAATAATGAAAGAGAAATTTTGAAATTCTATATAATACATTTTTAAAGATATATAAATAATTATTAATTCTAATAAATAATTGTCTTGAAAAGTTTATAACTCTATAAATATAATTAAAATACTTTACATTTAATCACATATTTATATTTCTAAAATAATGTATGATCATATTATGTAATTATATATATATATATATATATATATATATATATATATATGTCCATCTTTTTATATATTATGCACAGATGGAAGAGACTGTTGAACGTTTTGCGAATGAATATGAAAAATTTCATAAGGCGCAAATACAGGATGAAATCTTGCTTACGGAAAAAATCAACACACTCGTAGGAAATGTTACAAACGTAGCGCTGCAAACAGATATCAACAAAATATTTGAAATGGCCGTAGAGATAAAGAGAATCTGTAAAATGATAAAAGATTGTCAAGAATCAAGTTTATTATTGAATGAGCGACAGAAATTGTTTGGTATGAATATCATGCCATTTGAACAATTGAACCAATTGGTGAGAGAATTCGAGCCGTATCAGATCTTATGGATTACTGCATCGGGTAATTGATAGATAGAGAAAAATACTATATCAAAATTATAAAATTGTAGAAAACTTTTTCATTTAAAATAATAAGATTCAAATTTTAAAGTTAAATATTATAGAATTTCACATTTATATAACATAAAATTTTATAATTTTTTCATCAAACTTTGTATTTATTTTTTGTTTTTTTTTTATTTCTATTATATTTTCTATTGTTATTATATTTTTAATACTATTCTGTTTTATTTATCATTTTTATTTCATTTTACAAAATTCTAAATTAAATAATTATATAATTTTAAATGACAATATATGATATATCATTAAATTTCGTAAATGTATTTAAGTATTTTTTACATTTTATTTAAGTATTTTTTTTATTATTAACATATCATGCATTTTCAATAACTCAACACATTTATATTCACTTTAAACAAATATTTGTAATTTTTACATGCCAAATACAGATTGGTTAAAATGGCAAGAAATATGGATGGAAAATCCTCTAATAAATATTGATGTTAATCAAATTGAAAGCATGGTTACTGATATGCACAAAGCTATATCGCGCTGTGTGAAAGTATTTCAAGAGAACCAAAGTAGGTCGATATTTCGTTTAAAATTCATTGAATTTTGAATGCAATACATTTGCAATTCATATAGAAATCGGTACGATGCAGAATAGTTTATATACTCTTTCGCAAATTATAGAGATAGCTGCTATAGCGTTCACTATAAGAGATCAAATTGAAGCATTTAAGCCTTACATCAGCATGATACAGGCTTTGCGACATCCAGGAATGAAAACTCGACATTTTGAAGAACTTAATAAGCAAATTGGAATACAAATGGAACTTACACCAACCTTAACTTTTAAGAGCTTACTCTTTCTCAGTGTGATGAAATATGAAGATATTGTGAAAACCGTCGCAGACGCTGCAGCAAAGGAATATTTGATAGAGAATGCATTGGATAAAATGACAACTGAATGGCAAACAATTATAATGGATATTCTTCCTTATAAAAATACTGGTATGTAAAAAGAAATGACCCCTTTCTTGTATATACATATATGTGAATATTGGATATATGTGAATAATAGATTTCACAAAAAAAAGTCAAAAATATCAAATTTTACATTTATTTTAATTTTTACTTCATTTCATCATGTGACAAAAATGATAAAAGATATATTTTAACAAATTAAAAAAATATGTTTGAATAGATCGGGAATTCCACAAATACTAATATATCAAATTTCACGTTTAGATTTTCATGCGTTTTAAATGACAATAAAATATATATTTCAACAAATTAAAAAGTTTATTTGTTTATAATTTTTTTTAAATTATTTAGTAATAGAAATAGTTTTAATTAAGAAATTAAATTAAGAATTAAAAAATATATTTTATATTATATTGTATATACTTTCTATTTTGAAAATGTACTTGAAACATAAAAATTTACATAAATAACTAATTTAATTAATTCCTATAATGTAAATAATATATTATTTTATTTATAATATATAATATCTTAACACATTTATATATAGGAACATACATAATGAAGATTTCCGACGACATCACTACTCTCTTAGATGATGATATTCTTAATACTCAGCATCTCAGTGTCAATCCTTTCAAAGTTGCCTTTGAAAGCCGAATCGATGAATGGGAAGCTAAATTGAGATTAATTCAGGAAGTGATCGCTCAATGGACGGAAGTGCAAAGGTAACAATTATATCTTAACTTCCGTTTGCCGCTATCAAAGAGATATATACTACTGATTTAATAGAATATATGTACAGGCAATGGATGTATTTAGAGCCAATATTTTCGTCCGAGGATATTAATCGGCAACTATCCGTAGAAGCGAGGAAATTCAATACAATGCAACGAAACTGGAGGCGAATTATGAAAAATGCATACGATTGCCCATACGTATGTAAAGCAAATTTGACATTATGTTTCGTATACATTTCTCCATTGAATTCTCTCGATCTATCAGAACAATGAAAATTACATAAAACAGTATTGAATTTGGAATAATAAAATAATAAAATAATATTTGATATTAAATTAAATTTATATAGTTTAAAGTTTATAAAAAGTAACACTTATCAAACATTATTAAATGTTAAATTAATTTTTAATGCATTTTTGTTCATTTTAAATAAGCAGTTAAGCATTCATATCATATTGAATTTATTCGTTGTTTGATCTACGTTTTGTAGCAACTTTGTGTTATTAGTTTTGGAAAAAGTAAAAAGTCAACTAACTTTTATGTAAACAATTCAATGTTATCATATTGATTTCATTCGTTGTGTTTTGTCTACATTTTGTAACAACTTTATATTGGCTTTTTAAAGTAATATACTTCAAGAATATATTTGCAGCGCATTTCTATCATCATTTTTATCATCTTATTTCCATGCTCATACAATTATTATTTAAAATTTTTTTAATATTAAATATGCTAAAAAAGAGAATATTTTTTTTTAATTTATTATTTTCTTTAAATGTAATAAATATTTAAAAATATATAGAGAAAAAAAACTCTGATCTATTATAAATATATAAAAATCTCACATTATTTCACATTAATAATAAATTATTTCAGATAATTATAACGTGCGCGGATAAAATCTTATTGGAAAGCCTGAAGGAATGTCTGTTAATCTTGGAAACAGTCCAGAAGGGTCTGTCGGATTACTTGGAGACTAAGCGAATGATTTTCCCTCGCTTTTTCTTCTTGAGTGATGACGAACTATTGGATATAATTGTCCAGTCCAAGCACGTTCAGGCGATACAGCCGCATCTGAAGAAATGTTTCGAAAATATGAGGGAATTGAGATTCGAAGATGATCTCAGGATAACGAGAATGTATTCCGCCGAGTACGAGGAGGTCACGTTACGACCATCGATCTATCCCGAGGGAAATGTCGAGAATTGGTTGGGACAGGTCGAGGATGCGATGCGCAATACCCTGCGAGAACTCATCGGTAAGGCCCTCGAAACAGTGGAAACGACATCGCGAAATCAATGGATATACATGTGGCCGGGCCAAGTAGTTCTTTGCGGGGGTCAAACATATTGGACTGCCCATGTGGAGGACGGTATCAGGAACAATACTCTGTCTGATTATTATAATCTGATGTTATTGCACGTATGTAATATGCAAACATTAGATTACTTTTCCATAAGACAAGCGAGAATAAATATAAACATTATATATTTTCTAAACGAATTATAAGTAATATCTTTGTCCACGTTATTTGAATAAATTGTTTATAACTTTGCTTCTGCTCCAAAATTCTGAGAATAGTTAACGTCAATATTAATTAATGTCAATAATAATTAATATCAATCAATAATTATATATACATTTAAAAAATTATACAATTTCCTTTTCATTTCTTCCCGCGAGCTTGTATTTTTTTATAAAGTAAAACATTTATTTTTACAAAATAAAACATTCATTAATCAAATATATCTTTTATGCGGTATTTTTCTCACATATTTGCACGTTCTCTTATATGTTGAAAAATTTAGTGATTATTTAAAATAAGGAATTAATACACTTTCTTGATACTTTATTGCATAATATGCACTGAAAAATTTCTCGTTTAAATGGAGATATAAATATGTGAAGACTTGTATTCTTGTTTATTTTAAATTAAATTAAAAAGAGTTTGATTAGATAAATATTGTAATATAATTTACACAAACTTGGAAATAATACATTTGTTTTAATAATATTTTATAGCTGGAGATATTTCGAGAATTAATACAGAATCCGCAAACCGAGATTTTAAGATTGATGCTCGAGGCTGTGATCACAATTGAGATTCATGCCAAAGACGTTTTGCATAAGTTGATTCAGCAGAAAATAATCAGTGTCAACGATTTTGAATGGATTTCTCACTTAAGATATTACTGGATTGATAACAAAGATTTAAAGATTCGCGCAATAAATGCTGAATTTCCATATGAGTGAGTTCTCGCCATATATTGGATTAATTTTCATTAGAATTAACAAGAAAAAAAGTAAGATTTCTAATATTATATTAATAATAAAATTTGATAGAAGAACTCACTTGTCAAAGATTAAAGAATTTGATACACACAATAATACAGTTTTTAAACTTCTAATCTTTGGTAGTAGTGTATATTAAGTAGTGAATTGAATCACTATACTTTTAAAACTCTAAAGAGAATTAGAAGTTTAAAAGTTGTATCAAATTTATTAATTCTTTTGATATAAATTTTATTAAATTTTATTAATTCTTTTGATATAAATTTTATTAAATTTTTTAAAGCTGCATTGAGTTCTTTATTACATGAATCAAAATTATCAAGTATCTTAGAACTTGTACTTTAAAATAATTTATTTTTATATAAGAAACAAAGCAAATTCACTTTCATAAATGTTATTTGATTCTACGAAACTGATATGATAACTTATCTAATTGTATCTGTTCCTAAATTTAATTATAAAGTTATTTTAAAACTTATTTTAATTATAAGAGGAATATCGTGGGAAATCTTCAAGAATTTCTTAAAAATCCTCTACTGATAAATAAAAGATAATCCGCTCTTTTGAAATCATAATTCTATTAATGTTCTATATACAAAATATATAAAATATTCTCTTATGCTAGTAATTCACTTAATTCACTTTTTGCAACTCTTAATACATAAAAAACAAGAAATTTGCTCAAATTAAAATCTTTCTTGAGCATAAATTTCAATTCTTATGATTTTGTTCTATGCTTATTTGTTTCTTTGAAATTATACAGTAACAACTCACATTCTAACGATTACTTGCATAATTAATTTTTAATTTAAATAGCAAATATATAAAATTAAATATTAATTTTATTTTTTAATTTGAGAATTGAAATAAATTTAATCTCTCTTTTCTGAATATTTCAATTTTTCAAAATGATCAATTAATATACACACATCTCACGAATAATCTACAAATTGAAAATATTTTTCTCAAGATACACATTTACTTCAATGTTACGAGGATGTAATTAATACTTATCTTTAATTAATGTAACTTTTTCACAGTTTTGCTGCGGCTACCTCTTACAAGGATATACTAATCAATGTCTTTCATCACTTACATTGTTCGGCTGGTTTCGATTTTGACTGCAATACTTTTTTCTAACAGAATAAATTATTAGAACAATTATTGTTATACTCTTTCTTTGTATCTTGCAGATACGAATATTTAGGTAACAATGGTAGACTAGTAATTACACCATTGACTGATCGCTGCTATCTTACACTTATTGGTGCGTTGCATCTGAAATTCGGCGGTGCACCAGCTGGTCCAGCAGGCACTGGTAAAACGGAAACTACGAAGGATCTCGCGAAAGCATTCGCGATTCAATGTGTGGTTTTTAATTGTTCTGATCAGCTTAACTTCAAATCTATGGGCAAATTATTCAAAGGCCTTGCCAGGTAGGTACAAATATTTTATATAATTTTGTTACACTCAAGTTACGTTAATGAGAATTTATCTAACACAATTCAAAAACACACGATTTTATATAATTTTGTTACACTCAAGTTACGTTAATGAGAATTTATCTAACACAATTCAAAAACACACGACTTCAATTAATAATTAAGATGACTTGACGATTTATAGCGCTGGTGCATGGGCCTGTTTCGACGAATTTAATCGAATCGATATCGAGGTTTTGTCTGTTGTAGCGCAACAAATTATAACTATTCAAAAGGCACAACACATACGAGCGAACGTGTAAGTAAGCAGCACCGGCAAATAGAAATTATATAGAATAAATTAAAACAATGAACATCATTATATCATAAAATGATTTTAACAATTTCTTTTTAAAAGAACGTGAAATCGTTTGATTTTGAAATTATTTAATATCGAGATCTAAACAGTTTAAATTGATATTTAATAATGGAATTCTATTTGATACTAGAAATAAAAAATATTATAAATTAGCTTAAAATTTGTATTGCAGAATTAATTTTAAATTTATTAAAAGTTGTACTTTGCGTATTTATTAATATTTTTGTAATATATACGATGTTAAATTAATTAATTTGGCATACATCTAAAATCGAATTTTTTGTAATATTTCAATATTATAATTAATTTTGTTACATAAATATATTACATAATTTTGTTATATAAGTTTTTGTTACTTAATACAATCAAATAACATTCTTTCTCCCTTTTTTCTCAAATTATAATTTACGGTTTGGTGAATACGTTATTAAATAATATATAAAAATAATCAGAATCTGTAATATTATATTTTATAATAATAAAGATGATGAAAGAATTATAAAGCAATAATAAATTATATGTATTTAGAGATAATAATTATTAATTACGAAAATTAAATACGAAAAGTTCAACAGTACATTTGCTCCAGCGTTATAATATCTTTGATTGATGTCAAATTAATATTAAATTAAATTCATAAATTTGCAGATTTCTTTTTGAAGGAGTTGAACTCACCTTAAAATCATCCTGCGCTGTATTCATCACTATGAATCCTGGTTATGCTGGTCGAACAGAATTACCTGATAATTTAAAAGCACTTTTCCGACCGGTGGCTATGATGATCCCAAATTATACTCTCATTGCTGAAATATCTTTGTTCTCATATGGCTTTATAAATGCAAAAAATCTTGCCAGAAAAATCACAACTATTTTTAAGCTGAGCTCGGAGCAACTAAGCATACAAGTATTTTTATTTTTCTATTTTTTCTTTTTGTTTTATTTTTCAATATAACCTCTGAAAAATACATTCTAATAGTACAAATCAAAATTACTACAGAGTGTGCCATCAAAAGTGGTTACTTGCTTTTATCTTTTAAAGAAGATCATAAGAAATCAAATTGAATGACTCAAACTGAATTCTATTGTGAGTATAATTTGCTTACACTAAACTATATGTGTTAATAAATGGAAATATATGCATAACTTTTATCTAATAATGTGAATATTTTGACATAATAAAAGTTATTTAGTAGAGTAGTATTTAAAACAAATATATGATTTAATGTAAATATTTTATATATTTTATTTTATGTGATTTACGAGTTAAATAATACGAGTTTTTTTTATTTATTAAATAGAAAGCTTATGAATCAATGAAAATATGAAATATTTAATAAATTTCAATATTTTGTGGCACGTGGCATAAAAACATCGCACATGTAACTTGCGAGGTAATTTTATTTTATTATTTATCGTGTTATTTACAACTGCTAGCTATCACTATAATATAAACTTTAATAAATAATAAGTTATAATTTTTAAACAAATTGTGAAATACTTTCTAATGGTAATAATTTAATTAAAGTGATTATTATTATTAATTAACTTTATTATTATTTCTGCATTATTGTGTTATTTATGTATTATTTATGTATTATTATATTTATGTTTGTTTAGCCAACCATAAATTTTGATAAATTATAAAATAAATAATTTTTAAAAAATATGTGCGACTTTAAAGCTTTTTAATAATTTAAGACTTTTAATAATTTAAATAAACGCGTATATTTATTTTTATCTCATAATTTTAATTTTTTGTACTTATATTTTTTATCTATTTATACTTTTCGTATACTTAGTATTATGATGAAACATGACAACGTCAATCTTTAAGGGTACATTTTAACTTGACGTTTGACACTCATTTTCAGCATCAAAAAACATGACTAAAAATAAAGATACTAATTTATTATTTTTTAATCACGTAATGTCTTTTGACCCTAAAAATGAGTGTTGAGTGAAAACGTGTCCAAAAGGTAAACCTTGCCCATGACATTTAAGCCGAAAACTCATATAATATGTAAAATATTCATATTAAATAATACATCATTATATCCGTTTCGAAGCGCTACAATTTTTATTATATTTGAAATATCCACATTATTATACAAAAATTATGCATACTTCTTCATTTATTAACACAGATAGCTTTTATAAGCAATCACTATACTCAATAATAATAATTTAATTTAAATCATTTAATTTGATATATATTTTTGTTATAGTTTATCTATTTTAAATGATAGATAAAAGTTAAATAAAAGATAAAAAGGGTGCCAATTTTGATGGGATGTCTAATATATTTTGAGGAATCTCGAATACACAAAGTAGGTCATATTCAAAATGTTTGTTAAAATAATTTTATTAAAATAATAGACTATATTAGACTATTATATCATATGTCGTCAACAATTTATCCAGTTACATATTACATTAAAATAATACAATTCTATAATGCTTCTAAATACAATGTTATAATTATTCATTAAAATAATACAATTCTATAATGCTTCTAAATACAATGTTATAATTATTCATGATAAATATCTTTATTATTTCATACTTTTAAAATAGAGTTACGTCATTTGACTATGATTTAAAATTAATTATTTTTGCATATTTTGAGTTTAATTAATTATATCTAAAATATAATTTGATAGGACCATTACGACTTCGGTATGCGCGCAGTAAAGTCTGTTATTATAGCTGCTGGAAATTTGAAACGAGAACAAAAAGATCTTGAAGAGAACCAAATCTGTCTTCGGGCCTTGAAGAATGTAAATATTCCTAAGTTTTTGAAGGATGACTTAAAGTTGTTTAATGGTAAATTAGTTTAAATCTTAAAATTTTTAAAAATTCGTAATCCTTTTTTAAATAATACAAATGTTGAATTTAAAAATTTATTTATCTTGAAATTAGATAATTTTTATAATGAACTATTAAATTTACAATTTTGTATTTTATTTTAAAAAATTTACGAAGGAGATATCCAATTTTAAAAAATACATTTTTTTTATAAATACATTATTTCATATTTCAATGTGGTGTATGAAAATAGATATCGCAAGAACAATAAAATATTTTTACGATTTTTTATTACTATAAAAATATATAAAATTAAAAAAAAAAATATATATATATATATATATTTATTTTATTTTTTAAATCTTGCATATAACTTATCACTTTTATATCATACTTTATATTATATATAAAGTATATTTATATTGATATTTTTATATCATATTTTATATTATATATAAAGTATATTTATATTGATAGATTTATTTATTTCTTGTCTTTCAGCATTAAAAGGGGATATACATTTATATTGTGTCGATTATATATTTGCTTCCGCTTCTTTTATATTTTATTAATTTTGTTTTTTATGGATATAATCTACTAAACAATTAAATTTTCCTATAACTTGTTTTTTTATGGACATTTAAAAAGAAAAAGATAAATAAGTAATTTATTACATTTCGTTTTTCCAGATATTGTATCGGATCTCTTTCCCGGTCTCATCGAGAAATCAGTAGATTATGAGATCCTAGAAGCAGGAATTCATAAGTCTATCGGACAAATGGGTTTAGAAGACGTCAATAGTAAGTTTAATTTTTCATTTTTAATTTGAATTTTTTCATTCGAATCTATGTACATATTGTTCTATCTTTTGATGCACTGCAGCAAAATTATTTTATAATTATTTAAAATATTTTATATAAAATGGAAAGAAAAAAGCAAATATATCACAAGACATATTAAAAAATAATATATAAAAATTTTTAACTTGCTCCATGACATGTAAATATTTTATATTTATAAAAAAAGTTCTAATTTTTCAAAAATTTATTTATATCTAATTTAAAACTCATTGTTGATAGGAAAATAGTTTATCAATCTACACTTTCTCTGTTAAATTCTTTCCGAACATAGATTTTTTCTCTTTATAAGTTAATTTTTAAAGTACAGATTAATTATGAATTTTATATTTAAAAGTGCTTTGCGTAATGTCAAATTCATGAATCTCAAAATACATTAAAATTATTAACTTTTGATGTAGTTAATCTATCTAATTCCTTTTTAATTAAGAAATAAATAGATATATATTTAGATAGATATATTAATTTAACTTCTAATGCCGAAAATATGTTATTTAATGAGGAATAAATGTTTCATTCAACTCGTATTTAAAGAAAAATTTTGCTTAAAATATATGACTTTTTAAATTGTGAAAGCCCTGTAATGCTCTCTCTTGGAAAAAATTATTTTTCTCTCCCCTTCATTTTTTAACACTTGCGAAATTTAATTTAAAATATTTTAATAAGTGTTAATAATATTAATTTATCAATATATATGTATAATGATTTCTAATAATATATAAATTTATAAGCTTTCTAATAAATACATTTTTATTAAGTTATCAGTTACAAAATTAAAGATGTTAAATATTCATTGTGGGAAATGTGCTTTAATAAAATAAATGGCATAGCTCACATTACGCGAGCAATATGTAAAAACTAATGAGAAAATTATTTTGATTTCATAAGTATGACAAATTCTTTATTTTTCTCTTTTCTGTTAATTCTCTTTTCTCGCTCGATTTATGTCGCTCATATAAATATATTTGAAATTTCAAACAATAAATCTTAAATTAATGTTAATTTGGTTTAAAATATCAAACCTACATAAATAAAATAGCTTATTATATATTCATAACGTATTAATATTATTTAATAAATAATTCAGTTGATGTTTGCATTAGGCATATTAAGTAAAGTTTCAAATATATTTCCATAATATTGTTTGTGGAATATGTTTGTTTTTAACTATTATGAATTATGCATTTATTCATTAATGTATGATGTGCAAAAGCGATTTTTATTATAAAATATTCTATTCACGGACAATTACAACATTATAAATATTGTATTGATTGTATATAACACTTTATTTAATTATTATTAGTCTACAGACTATATAATTATGTGTTGTTTATATAACATATAAAGAGACACATAAAAATTAATATAGGTTTTTTTAGAAAAAGAATAAATTTTTTGTTGCTTCTTCGTACAGTGATTATGAACTTTATGTACATATCTCATCAAGAGAGAAAGAGAGAGAGAGAGAGCATATTCACATTAATATGTATATACTTCGCGAAATTATGAAAATAAATGTCGTAATGTAGAAACGTGTCTTTGCACTAAAACATCCAATTTGGAAGCACGCGCTAAATGTGGCAACGCGCATTGGATCGATACCGGCATTCGGAGCTTCCTTAATTCGTCTGTGACTATGCTTCGTGGAATCTATTAAAAATTTTAATTACGCAATTCTAATTACAGATTTTGTGAAAAAGATAATTCAGCTGTACGAAACTATGCTGATACACAACGGATTAATGTTGGTGGGTCCGACAGGTTCCGGGAAAACCAAGGTAAGTACCAAATAATCTGCGAGATAAAGATATTCGTGTTATAGTAGATCTTTAGATGAGCTTCCTTCTTTAAATTTCTACGCTGTATTATTGATATTTTAATCGTTATATTTCTGTGTGCTTGAAAAAGTTTTATCGAGTGATATTCAAACGAGCAATATTAATCTATATCGCGATGTTAGTTTGATCTGATCAAATAATTTCATCATTTCAAAGTAATTCACGAAGATTTATAAATAAAAGAAATTTCTTTTAAATTCTCTAAAAGAAGGATTTCCTCATTTGATCACAGTAATTCGATTACAAATTACTTATGTGGATATTGTAAGAGATGTTTAAAATTTTACTGAAATCTAATAAAAGATTTAAGCTTTTTATATTATCCTAAATAGATTTTCTAGGAGTACTTTCTTAAGATTTCTGTAAGAAATCTTACAAATATTATTTGTTATATATATTTACAAAATATTAAAATAATTAAGATTCAAATTTAGCTTAGAAGTTTAATTTTATTGTTTCCAAATAGTATTATATAATTTTAATTATTTCGTGCATTTTACATAATAGCAATAAAGATGTAGTAGAAAATTTATAAGGAAGATAGAAAGAGATGTTTACAAAAATTATGTTATTGTAAGATACATATATTATAGATATATTGTTTTCTCTCTCGCATAAGACGTAATTATATTTCAGTACAAAAATAAACAATTTAAAAAAAAATTTGTGACAAAAATGAATAGAACATAAAAAGTTTATATTCTCTTCGGATCCGTTTGAGATATTTTAATAAAAATAATTTTTCTTATACACACACATATATATTGAATAATTATTTCTCTTATATATCATACATCATGATTAGGAAATCAAATCATATTCTTATTTTGTTATCTATTTATTTTAATTAGAAGTTTTGTAATTTTAAATTTTTTCCATATGTGAGAAATGTGATAATTTTTCTTATTATTTTATATATTTCAACTGTAAAACTCGATTATTATATATGATGCAAAATATCAAAGGACTTTATTAATAGTAACTGATGATGTATATCCAATCTCGCAATATGAATTCTGATCAATCCAGAATTGATCATACAAATCAAGTGAGATGGAGAAATAAACGAACTGTTTTAATAAGATTAATATGCTTGACTATACAACACATAGACGCAACATATATATATATATATATATATATATATATATATATATATTAGCTTAGCTATTAACGATATATATATATATATATATATATATATATATATATGTATATATATACATATATATTGTTTTCATATATGTATGTATTTCTACAAAACATATATCCAAAACATATATATAAAAGGGCATATATATATATATATATATATATAAAAGATGAAGCTAACAAAATCTACATATATTTTTTCTACTGCCATGAGAAAATGTGTGCGTATGATGTTTATATATTGCGCAAAAAAATATATATTCTCATCTTTTATAGAAAGTAAAATAAGTGACACATATACACCAATAGTTTGTCTTTCCGAAACAGGAAATGAAATAAATAAATTTTTAATGTTTGAAGTAGAATAAAATTATTCTCAAGTTTTTTTCAAAAAACAATTTTAATTTATTTACATAACATATAAATAATTATATTATAGGGGGGGATATAATATATATATATATAAATATATATAAATGCTACATAATATAAATATAATACATATTCATTTAAATTAATATAGAATAAGCGCATGTAAATAAAGTTCAAATCGTAAACTTAGTATATCATTTTACGATTAATAGTGGATAAAAATATACAATATTTCGTATATTGATTTAATTCAACATGTAAGGTTCATTATATAGAAACAATTATTATTTACATACCAACTTTCTAGTCAGTTTAAATAAATGAAATAATATGTTTACATACAGATATAACTGACATAATCGTACATACAATAAAATACATAGCCACTTAGTGAGACTCTCTTTACATAATAATTTAAGCAAAGAGTAAAATAAAGTTATACATACATACATATATACATACGTACATACATACACACACAAAATATATATCTTTAATATGTATTTTTCTAACATTATACATTATATACAGGAATGCGCACCACAATAATAATCATAAGTATCATATATATATATATATATATATATATATATATATACACACACATATACATATACATATACATATGTACACACGTATACAATACGTGTGTGTAAATAATTTACATATATATATATATATATATATATATATATATATAATATTGTATATATATTTTATAAAAAATGTTACTTTATTTTAAACTATTCTTTTTTTCATAATAATACGTTATATGTGATAGATACGAAAAAGGAGCACTGCTGAGACGTATTTTTATAAAAAAATATAGAAATTTATAGAACAACTGTATATATATTTATACATTTACTTTTTCATATTCTTCTTTTGTTGGGTATGTAATTATTTATTGATACATCTGATTTGACATACATGGGATGATTTAGTGACTTTTAAAGTCAATTTCTTAATATAATTTTACAGTAGAGGGTCAATTTGCGATTTTTAGAATTATTTTTATTGGATTTTTATTATATTCGACAATTTTAACGTTAGATATGTTCTTATAAATAAAAATAATTTACAATATATAACATTATCAAGTTAAAAACAATATATATTGCCTAACCATATGCATATAACTATAAATGCATATAACCATAATGCATATAAACATAAATATTTATGAAACTAAAAATGCGTTCAGATATCACAAGAAATAACAAGTAGTACTTTTACGAAAATGCGCAATGTGCGAAACATTTAATAAACATTTTAATAAAGTCAAATATCTAATTTATATATAACGTTATAATCATCGTTGAGGATTAATCATCGTTATTACAATCTACTGCCGCATACGCCTTTCTATTATGTTTCAAATTATATTGTCAAAAAACATTTTGATATATAATTAATTCAATAATGATGAATTTGATCAAGCAAAATTTGTTATTCCACGTATATAAGATATGTCATTTTATTATATTTTTAATAATTGATATGTATACGAAGTATACATGTCAAGTATAGTTTATTTGTATCACGCAGAATGCAGAAAGAAAAATATATATAAAAAAATATATATGTGATCAGATTCACGCATCTACATCAATGTTTTCAGTGAAAAATATTATAATCTTTTCATAGAAATGCTTTACGATAATCTTTTGTTCGGAAAAGTGTGCATATCAAATAAAAAATCAAGATAAAAAATGTATTTATATATGTCTATATATCTCAATTTATAAACATAATTTCGTAAAATAATTTAATCATATCATAATTTTCGATAAGAAAATTTCTGTTTAAATGTAACATAATATATTAATATATTTTATTTAATTTTTTCTTATATAAACGATTAAAAATAAGAAAAGTATTTTGCATTAACATATTTGTTATATAATTGATTGTTATATGAATTTGATAAGATGTTTGCAAAAATACTTAAACGAATTATTATTAATATTCGTAACGTATTGATAACGTGTGTGTAGGATTATTTGACACAGATAAATATTTTATATACATGAGCTAAGTGATTTTGCATTATATATACAAGAATCTCGTGTATTTTACGTGAAGCCATTGCGAGATTCTATTCATACTGCATGGATTCAAAATCGTAAAAGAATATTTGTAAAAACACAGTTTTATCTGAGATTTATATGAAATTGCGTAATCCCAAAGAGATCTTTTCCATGCAAAAATGCCGAAAAATTTTTTTTCCAGTGATTTCCCCAGACGAGTTCTCGCTCAATCGATCTCTGCTTTAATTGCGCAAAAAACAAAAAAGAAACGTAGCATGCGAGAGAGAAATGTAACGGCTCATTTTCTTTGTAAGTTTTGCATAAAACGTACAACTTATGTATGTATTATTTCTTAATTTGTTTTCGATAAAAAATATCAATGTTTTTAACATTTGACTTATATATATATATATATATATATATATATATATATATATCTTTCTTTTATAGTTTAAACTTTAATTCGCTTTTATTGTAGTAAATTAACATATTAAATTTTATTTTAATACAAATTTTCAATCAAATATTTAAAAAAATTTACAAAACTCTTTAAATCACTTGTTTCTCTTTAAGATTTATAGAATTTTTTTTAGAACAATTAAGGAAAATATAATTTACATTGCTATGTCTAAAAACTATAACCTATAATGCTATTGTCAAGTTAGTAAAATTATATAAAAAATTATATAATAAACTGAAATATAATTGAATATTAATTTAAAATAAATTCCGATTTTATTTAAAAAAGACAGTATTTGTAAAAAAAATTTGTAATCTTTATATAAAATCTGTTGCATAAATATGTGTAACAGAACATTAAAAATTTTATTTACATTTTTGGATTCTCTTGTAATGTTACTATATAAATTTTGTCATAATCTTTCAAATGTATATTTGACAACTTGTTCAAATCAACATTTTTCCAAACATTAACTTTAAAACTTTTATTTTATACCTCTTTTAAAATAGATCTTAGCTTTCTATTGACGTATGATTTAATGAAAATTAAATATTAACTCGCTATCCGCTCTCATTTTTTACTTTCGACGTGAGTCAACTGAAAAGAATAATCTCTTAATAACCTCTTTTTTTATTTTGATACAAAACTTTGAATTGGTAGATACAATCTAATAATCTATAATAGATTTAAGAGAGGAAATTATAGAATTGATAAAAAGAAAAGAAAAGTTCTTATAAAAAGTTTGGAAAAATTATTGAGAAAAATATTATAATTGCTAAAAATTTTTACAAGATCAACTTTGCGATCTCGTGCTGTCATATGATACATTATGAAGAATATCTTGCAATAAACGCCTCTGACTTTTTTCAATTCTCAAAGTAAATCCAAGTTTTACAATATTGTGCCAAATTTCGCATAAAAAATGTTTAATCAATATAACACACACACACACACACACACACACACACACACACAATATGATAGAAATAAAATATAATACAATATAACACATTTTGCTGTCCTATTCGCACACACACACATCAAATTTTTACTTTATGTAATTGATAAAAACCCAAATATTTACTGTTTAAATTAAATACTAAAAATATGTAATGGAAAAATTTAAAAATTTTATATATATAGTTTATTTTATTATTCTAGGAGATTATAAGATAAAATTAAACGGAATATCTCTCCATATATATATAATATATATAATATATATGATATATATAATATATAATATATCCTTATATAAAACATTTTTCTCTTTTCATCAAAACTTAGAAAAATGTATACAATACTTTTACGAATTAATTAACAATTCAATTTAAAAAAATTAATGTCACTAGAAAATGTTTACATTTTAAAAAATAAAATACTGTTGACAGCGCGCGCACGCAAAAGTTATCTTAACGTATTAAATAAAAATATATTAAATAAAAATATATTTATATATTAAATAAATATATTAAATAAAAATATTTTAATTAAAAATACTGTTGCAGCCAACTTTAAATGACATTTTCAACTCAAGTGATTTTTTCTTGTTTTATAAAATTAGTACTAAGTTCTATAAAATACTGAACTATAAGAAAAGGAAATATGATCAGTTAAACATGGGCGTAATTTTTTATTTGTTTTAAATAAGTCTATAAATATGTCTATCTGAAATAAAAGAAACATAAATTATAGTTTTATAAACAGCATTTAATTTAACACCCTTCAGTATTTTTTAAAAAGTAAGTTTTTGCTAAAATATATTTTTTTACTTTATACATCATGTTAATACATCATGTTTGTTCTTTCTTTACTTTTTTACTTACTTTTTTAATAATTTATTTTGGAAACATTATCTAAAACCAAAAAAAAAACAAATTTTTTATCGCATTTTTACTGAAGACTCAAAATATATTTTCAAGGTAGAAAATTCCGCTTGAAATTAAAATAATTAGTTTTATATTTTTTTAGTTTATATCACTGTTTTTTTCTAAAACATGATTCACATTTTACAAAAATATTTTTCAAGAAATTCTTTAAATATCCGATTCAAGCAGCGTGTTTCTAGTTTTATCATAAAAAATACTTTCTAATATTTTTTTTTATTATACTCTATATCGTATACATTAGTCTTATCACATCATTCAAGTAATCTTATCATTTACTGAGAGCTGCATTTACTGAGTAGCTTTATCCTTAAGTATTTATTGATTAACGGACCAATATAGATATCCATACTGCAATGATAAAGTTTAGATATCATAAATATTAAATATTAAAAATATAAATATTAAATGTTAAAATTTTTTATTCTTGCATATTTAAAATTTATAACAAATAATATTTTTATAACAATGATATTTTTTTATAAATAAAATTGTGCGCGCGCTGTGTTTTTTCATTGCATCATTTTCTGTTAATTTTTCTCCGACTAGAAAATATTATTTGTTTTTCAAATGATAAGAAAATTATGGGTGAATGAAGAATGTAATGTATGTTAAAATTGCACGTTCGAACATAAAAATAAAAGTATTATTTCTTATGATTTGAAATTAAATTACTCTGATGATAAAGATGACTTTTAAAAATTTATTTATATTTAATGAAAAAATGTGTTAATGTTCGAAAATTATGGCATTTATATAATGTAGATAAATTATTATTTTTTTAGCTATGTCTATTTAAAAAAATCAATATTTATGTTAAAGCGTGAATCATTTCTTCGTTATTGATATAAAAATACAAGGTTAATACAATTTATATGTTATATAATTGCATCACAATGGATTTATTTTGATGCCTCTTTCAAAAAAGATTTATTTTATGTTCTCTCAAAAATGTTACTCTCAGAAATATGAATGTAAAATTTCGTTAAAAGCTATCACAAAAAGAACTATTACTTTCGTAACGTGTTTATTCAATAATAATCTTATAATTTTGAAAGAGAATAATAGAAATAAGACAAAATCGCATTGCACATCATTCACGGTGTATCTAGTGTTATTGATTTTATGTTAAATAATGTTATATTGTGTAATGTTGTATTATTATTGAGCATAATATACTCACAAGCATAAGTCTTATAATTTGAAAATAACTACCAATATTCGTGTGTGTGATTATCAGTAATATTTTCTTACATTAATAATTCATATATATCTATATACATAAATTATATATATACATAAAATTGATTCTAATACATAAATATTTTATGCTTTTACTTTTTTCCTTCTTTTTTTCTATCTTATAGAAATTTAACTTTTTCTATTTTCTAGAAAAAATCGGTACATAATTTAGAAACAGAATATTGATTATTACTATATGGTAGATGTAGAAATGGCAAATAATGTAGTTGTAATAAAAATCTCAAAGAAATCAAACCCAGAATCAAATTTATCTGCTCTTCATATATTGATATATATACTATATAACTTGAAAGAAATTCGGATAAGATTTATAACAGGAATGACAACTTTAAACATTATAAAAATTTTAAAGCGAATTTTTGTTGTCTTTCTCTTTTTATATCCATGTAGATAAGAATTTTTGTACACATAGATAAATAGAAATAAATTTCTACAAGTATAACCGCCAAACTTGTGAGAATCTTATTCTCACACAGCAAACGTGAGTTTATATAATTACATGCAGGTTCCTTGTAAGTTCCTGTGGTCCTTCTCTGTCAGTCAAATATCTTGATATCGCTCGGATTTTTGACACCGATGATTTTTCCTAACGAATGTTTTACCAAATAAATCATCTCATCATTGACGTGAAATATAATGTTCACGTCACGTGTTTTGCGAAACGATGCGTTCTTTCAAGCCCATCTCGCAAACAGGATCATCTTGGATTTGGACCCGCTTACCGCAAAAGCCATCCGAAATCTCAGTTGGAAACAGACACCAGATTAACGATGATCCAATGAGCGTGGACATTTCACGGACTTATTGGTTCCCTAATAGTCACCATATAATCAATGTTCAGTTTGATTTCTGACGGATTTTCGACGAAAATGAAACTCTAACTATATGTACCTCTGTGAATTGCAATGATACAATGTCATGCTCTTCATGATCCTACGTAGTATCTGCTCCAGACAACGGCGAAACGTAATGCCGCACATAGCGTACAGCAAGAAATTGATGCTGAAATTCGTGTAGTAGAGCAGCATGAAGAATTGCTGTAGACACCAAAGCGTCTCTGGCGTGTTCTTCCTTGCCAAGGTGAAAAAAAACACGCATAGGCGAATTACGTAGCTGAAACAGAATAACAACTCGATTCATGACGCAATTTTCGTACAATTTAGATTGTACCAAGAAATGAATTTTTGTTTCCATCGTACATAAATTCTGACTGATATTTAATTTACAATTTACATCTATTGAAAAGAACCATTATAAATTTTTTCTGTTAATTGCGAAAAATATCAAAATACAAAATAATATTTTGTTATACATAAACAAACATTTACATTTTTATAAATGAAAATATTCAAAAAAAAATATTGAAAAATCTAGATAGAAAATCTAGAAAGAAAGGAAAAATACAAAAAATGTCAAAAAAATGTCACATAAAGAAATGCTCACCTCGGTAAATTAAGTAATATAAAGACTGTGCTAATGAGTACGAGCATTTTTGTGATGCTTTCTTGATTAAATCTGGTCGATCCAAGATTCCGAGAAGACATAACGTCTGTGAAGTAGAGAATAAATAAATTCCAGTACAATTTATTTTTACACTTATGTAGAAACATAGGACTAAGAAAAGTTTATTTCTCATACAATAGGGAGCATATTTTTTTAAATTTACTAAATATACTGAACTTAATATTGCGATTTTGTAAGAGACATTTACTTTTATCTTTCTCATTACTAGCATTAGTAGCATTTTAAGTTTTTATAAAGTTTTATGTTTTTAATAATTCCGGATTCCCTAATAGCAATGCTGCTATAAAAATCGCAAAAGAAAAATTAACTATGTTAACTTATCATATACTTGTAAAAACATGATTCTTATTTTACAAAGTATATTTTATGGAGTTTCCACTGGATTTAAATCTCATATTAAATAAACTTACGTATACAAGGAGCTTCTATTTCAGTCATCTGGCAAGCGTTTCGCGGTGTTGGCGGGACAGATGCAGATTGATGTCGAGAATGATTTTTAGACGAGTGGAAGGACAATTGCTGGGAAGGTGGTCTCCGCGTTCCATTTGCACCCACGAGCGAAACCATGTTTATATAACCAGCACCATTATTACTACTGTTACCACTCTGGAAATAATTTTAAAAAATATTGTTTTTATTCGATATGACATATATATAAATTCTACTAATTTATTTTATTAACTATGTAATTGATTTGTTTCCATTTATTTTATTAACTATGTAATTGATTTGTTTGTTCCCATGGATGTTAATTTCATATTATACTTTAGAACTTACTATTATACTTAGAATCACTTTAGAACAAGGCAAATTTGCCATGTAGTTTTCAAAAAAGTATATAAATATATGAAAAGCTTTTAAAAATGCAATATTTCATTATTAAAAAATATTTTATTGCGTTTTTAAAATTTTTTTAACTTATATAAGCTATAACATTTAAATATAAATAAGAACATAAGTTCGTCTTTTTTATTTGTACAGATAGTTTTTCTGCTGTTATTATTAACAGATACAATATAAAATAGTTTGCAGTTTTATTTTTTTAGAATCAATTAAATCGAAAATTTATGCACAATATTTAGCATTTTTAATCTCTGTTTTTAATTCAATCTTAACAACAAACTGATAAAATATGTTTTTATAAATCATTACTTAGACAAATCACAAACAATAAATAACACATAAACATAAGTATAAACTTTATGAGCTATGAGATACTAAGTCGGTTTTAAACATAAATGCTGTACATAAAATGCAACATTATGCATTCAATTGACCTACGGCAAAAAAAAATTAAATGCATCCCAAGTTATTGCATAAAATGTGTCAAATATGTTTTTAATGCATTTATTTTGCAAATATGCACACTTTACCTGCGAGATATAGTGAATAATGCGATGAATATTATTTTTAATATTTTTTTTATATACTATACATTTTTGCATAGTAATGATCATTTTTACTAATGATTTCTTTTCAAAAGCTTTTCATAATTCAATTAAAAATTAAAAACTATCATTTATCATTTAAAAACTATCATTTTAATTTATTTTATTAAATATGGGAGAATTATATTATAACATAATATGATTCATACTTTTAGTAATTAATTCGAAAGCTATTAAGACAAAAATATTTTTATAGTTGAATTTATATATTTCTTTTCTTTAGTTTGTTTTAAATTAAAGTTCTAAATTAATAAAATAATAAAAATTTTATTGTAATTAACATATATGAAAAATAATATAATACATATTAATTATAAAATATGAAATAGATAATATAAATTAAATAATGTAATATATAAATGTATATATATTTCTATTTATTAATTCATTATGTACAAAAAATTATACTCAACGAACGCAATGACCAAAGAATTTATTGATACGTATCTCGCATTCGTATAAAATAAAACAAATATTTAAAGAGTCCTTGGGGTGCCAATCATACTATGATGGTATATAAGACCTCATTCTTAACATGATACAATTTCTGAGATCATCGTTTCCACTATTACTTACTTCATTTATTTGATAGAATACTATGTGCTTCAAATTACAAGCCGCTATTTGTGTCATTGATAGACCTTTTTATTAAAATGATTATTACTTAATCTTCGAAAATTACATTCATTAATATCATAGAAATTGCATTTATTCGCTACTTTGAATAGAAATTTTACATCAGTGAATACAAAAGCTGGAATTTTATCGTATTGCACTGATACTATTGAAATGCTCATTGCAGGAAATGAAGTTGATTTCATCAAAATTTTATTCAGTTTTCATAATATTTTGTAAAGATTGAAACTTATTTTCCAGTGATGTTAAAGAATCTTTTTCGAGAAATGTAATGACGTAAAATATTTATTTCATTAAAAAGAGATATATGATTTATTTCTGTTCATTTAATTTATGAGATAGATAAACTTGTATAACATAATAAAACTTTCTTAAAAATCAAATGGACAATTATATTAATATATATATATATATATATATATATATATATACATATATATATATATATATATATATAATTGTTTTTATCAATAATTATCATTAAAATAATTAAATTAATAAATAAAATTAATAACTAATCAAGTTAAATATTATTCTATATTTTGTAGTGTTCTTTGTCATAAATAATTTTTTTTAATAATTTCTATTACAATTATATCATGAGATTCATTGAATACTTGTAAATTGATAATAATGCTGTCGTTTAAAAAGAGATTTTTTAAATCCTATTTAGGATATTTATCTTTATATATTCTCTTCCTGAAAAATTTAACTCTGTATCTATTAAACTATATTAATATGTTCCTATTTGTTGTTATTAAATATTTATCTATTTTCATTTCACAAATAGTGAACAATAACGTTGCTAAAGTGAGACTTATCATCAATTGGCCTTTAACCTGAATCACTTAAAGAATAACAAGTCATACACTTGGTAAGAATAAATTGACAAAGGAAATAATAAATCAATAATAATTTCTCATGACATTCCTATCTGCACACTTTGAAAAGTTAATTATTCAACTCTGTGACAAACAAAGTAGTTAATCATAAAATTTCACAGTATCTTTTATCGTTAAATAATTTGTTGAATTAATTAAAAACTGAAAACATTCAGCAACATTTGACACAAACAAAAAATTAATATTAGTTAAAAATATGATTATTCTTACTGTAGGCATTTCTTTGTATTGTTTTATTATAAATAAATTGTTTTATTACAAATAAATTTTATTATAAATAAGTTATCTCACTTCAAAAAGTTCCTACTGATGAAATCCAAAAAAACGACAAATTATACCAAAGAATTACCATCAATGATTCTATATAGTAAATCCATTATGATGAAGTACAGGAATAGTAGCTAAATACCAAGTCATGCTTTGCATAGCGATTCCAGACTTGCAACTAGATAAGTTTCCGATAAATACCTGAACAGTAATGTCGACAGCTTACTCTGTACACTGTTCCGTATCTAGCCTAGAATTTGCATAGCTAACAGATTTTCTTTAATGAAAATGGAGGTCATATTACTTGCTGTAGCGTTGCGATCTCAAACTTAATGCTAAAACTAGGATTTCCACGATATTCATGAAGGCTTAGTTTTCATGACAGTGAAAGGTAGTTTCTTGAAGCTTTGAGAGAGAAAATCAAAAGCTCTTATTACACAAGAATTATTAAATGACGTTGAGAATAGAAATTAAGATAGCAGACATTTGTAAATTAATTTAAACATGTAGAATTATAGTAAATCTCTGTTCAAACATGTAGAATTAAAGTAAATTTCTGTTATATCACTATAAAATTAAACATATATAGTACACAGATGTATTTTTTGCTCATTTAAATATAGAACAAGAAAATTAAAAATGAAAGAAAAATTCAGAAAAATTGGTAAGACATATGCATTTTTATTTTTTAAGGCAAAATTATATTTGTTTTGAATATTGAAAATGTTTTTTTAGACTGCAATAATTACAATTTTGTCGAGTTTGGTATATATCACTTTTTAACTTAAGTCTTTATTCACAAACAGAAAATATTCAATCTGTATAAGAGTGAATATATTCTGTAAATAATATTTTAATACATTAAATAATATTGTTATTTAAACTAATTATGTATTTAATATATTTTATATATTGTACATACATATAATAAGTTATATAATAATATATGGATAATTATATATATATATATATATATATATATATATGTTGTTATTTAATTATATATATATATATATATATATATATATATATATAAAATTAAATAACAACATATATTAACAATAATTACACATTAAGCGAAAAATATTATCGCCTAAAGAATACTATTATAAATAATGATATTGCAAAAGATACATCAGCAGTTAATCTCTAACGACTTAATTCGCATAATAACATAATCTTCGTTTTATCAACAATAAATTTATAAAGAACACAGTCGATAACAGCGCTTTCTGATACTTCTACGTACGAAGTAGATTTATTAATTCCATTTTAACGAACGAGAGACAGTCAGTTACACGATCTCGAGTGCGAAGCACGTATCTCAATGTCAGATAATTTATCGAGTTAATAGTGAGCGATCGCGAATATCAATATCAAATTTTTGTTCAACTTCGGCACAATTCTAAGTGATAATTGTGAATATACACATACATATATAGAAGAACAAAAATAACAACAATTTGAATTTTTTCTTTTTTCACGTTTTGTTGATGGTCAAATAATTGAATGTAAAAATTATTTTAATTTTGACGAACCTTTCAATTATCAACAACATTTATTTCTTATATGACAAATTAAAAAATCATCGTGATGGAGCTATCTACATTGTTGCTGACTATCCTCGCAGTGGGTATCTATGTGTATTATTTTGTTCTAAACAAATTATCTCATTTTGAGCGATTAAAAATCCCACATGTGCGACCGATTCCATTATTGGGTAACATGGCGCCTTTTATATTCCAACGTACATCTCTTGCGGAGCTCGTATCTAATATATACAATCTTTTTCCGGAGGCGAAATACATCGGCTTCTACGATCTTACAAAACCGGTGTATATCATTCGTGATCTGGATTTGATTACCACAATAGCTATTAAAAATTTTGACAACTTTTGTGATCATCAAAACTTTGTGAGCGTCGACGAGCGAATGGCCAGTAAAAATTTATTCGGTTTACGAGGCGATCACTGGCGTGAGATGCGGAAGCTTCTCAGTCCAGCTTTCACATCCAGTAAAATGAAGATGATGTTTAGACTCATGTGCAAATGTGCCGAGAATTTCACCAATTTTGTGGTAACACAATCTGGAAAGATTAGTAAGACATATGATATGAAAGAGACACTGTGCAAATACACTAATGACGTAGTGGCTACATGCGCTTTCGGCATTAGTGTGGATTCATTTAAAAATCCAAATAATGAGTTCTTCTTGCTTGGTAGAAACGCCTTTACCTTTGGTACCCGGCTATCTATCATGTTTTTTATGAATAATCATTTCCCAAAGCTCGCAAAGCTTCTCAAATTGAAAATGTTTGGTCCAAAAGTGGAAAAATTCTTCAAAGATGTCGTCAGTAGTACGGTAAAAATCAGAGATGAGCAGGGAATTGTTAGACCAGATATGATCCAATTGATGATGGAGACTAGAAATAATGATCAAGGACTCCAATTCGACATTGAAGAAATGACTGCTCAGGCGTTTATCTTTTTCTTTGGTGGATTTGATGCTGTATCGACGGCCATGTCTTTCATGGTGCATGAGGTCGCCACCAAACTTGATGTTCAAAACAAATTAAGAAAGGAAATTGACCATGTTGTCAGGGAGACCAATGGCAAGCCCACTTATGAAATTATCAACAGCATGAAATATTTGAATGCCGTTGTGAATGAATCTCTCAGAATGTATCCAGTGGCAAGTTATCTTGATAGGGTGTGTGTGAAGGAATTCGAATTGCCACCGGCGACTGTGGGTGGCAAATCAATTACATTAAAACCCGGAGATGCCGTATGGCTTCCAAGTTACACTATACATCACGATCCCAAGTATTATTCGCAGCCAAACAAATTCGATCCCGACAGATTTTTGAACGGCGATGTGGACAACTCGAGCTATATGCCATTTGGTCTTGGACCCAGACTTTGCTTAGGTAACAGATTCGCTTTATTGCAAATGAAGATTATGTTGTTCTATCTATTGTGGCGTTGTGATCTTGAACGTGATGCTAAAACCAGAGATCCTATAGTATTGGATAAAAAATCACCTGTTATAATGGCGGAAGGAGGTTTCTGGTTGAAATTAGGAGCAAGAAAATCGACAGATCTTTTGGAACAGTATTTATCGAACGAAAACAGAGATTAATAATATTCATAATTTATATGTGAATTTTAAGTCGAACAACAAAATTATAGTAGACATTATTATTATCAAATACGTACTCTCTCTTTTTCTAATATGAACATTTAATCCAAAAAAATTAAAGATGCTAAAAATAAAATTTTTTAAAAATAGTTTTACATACATATATATATATATATATATATATATATATATATATATACATATATGTGTATTTTTATACATCATATACATGTATCTGTAATGTAAGCAATAGATAGTATAATTTCGAAGTATCTACTTGAAATATTTCAAAAGAAAAACTTTTATTTTGTGAACTTTTAAATTGTGATTATGTATAAAAGAGATCTTGAATCATTATGGCAATAAAATTACACAATATTATTTTAAAGATTTGTAAAGAAAAAGTTATAACAAATAAAAATTTTGCTAGATCTAAAAATTTGCTCCTATACCTCTCACGTAAGCTTTAGGTACTGCATTTAATGCAATTACATTATTAATACCTTTTTAAAATGCAGCTTTATTTGTGTGTGTTAATGAATCAAAATTTAAATTAAATTCTTTCTTTGTCATTTAAAAAAAATATTTCCATTTTACACGTATTTATTTTTGACTGATTCTTGATTTTACAATTAAACTTTAATAATTGAAGATTTGATAATAATTTATTAATTTAAAATTGATATATATTTTAAACACACCATATAGATTGACACATACTATAGCTAGATTGTAATAAAAATAATTAAAATAATTGAGTATAATATTTTCAAGGATAATATTTTCTTATATTCAATGATATTCTACAATGATACTAAATGAGACCCATATATCATCAATCAACCTTTAACCAACTAAATTGAACCAGTCTCATAGAATGACAAGTTATTTCAATAAATGATTTTGTAAACAGTACTGCAATAATAGCACTCGATTAGATAATGGTTCTTCAATTGATCAATTCCATGACATAAATTTTATGATGTAAATTTGCATAGTTAAAAGGAAATTGCTTCAAATAAGAAGCAGCAGTCAGTCTTTATATTCAGTGCGTGATACATGTATCTAGATAGTATGTTGGAATCATAGAATATCATCTGTAATTGTGAAAATTTAATTTCTATTCTTGATAAAAATCTAAACACAATAAAAAACTAATACATTGTATTTATATACAACTTTATCTGCAATGTATCTATTTTAAATTGATAATATTACATGTGTTTTGTGTACAAGTAATGTTATTATAACAATCGAACGTAGAAATTATTTATTATCTTGACGAAAACTATATTGACAAAACATTACTGTAACGTTCTCTTCTTGCGTAATCATTTGTAATGGAGTTCTCTACTTTAATTCTGATTATCATTACGACATGTATCTGTCTATATTATTTTATTTCGAGCAAGCTGTCTCATTTCAAGCGGTTAAATATCCCACACGTGCGGCCGATTCCATTATTGGGCCACATGGCGCCTTTCATTTTCCGACGTTTGTCTCTAGAAGAAAACATTCGCAGAATATACAACTTGCTCCCGGATGTGAAGTATTTCGGTTTCTACGAGTTTATGACGCCAATCTATGTGATTCGTGACCCGGAAATGATCACCACAATTGCCATTAAAAACTTTGACAACTTCTGTGATCACCGTGATCTGTTAAACAAAGAAATCGAACCGTTAATGAGTAAGAATCTATTCGCCATAAACGGCGATTATTGGCGCGAGATGCGGAAACTCCTCAGTCCTACTTTCACATCCGGGAAAATAAAAATAATGTTTAAATTAATATGCGAGTGCGCAGAAAACCTTACCAATTTCATAACGAATGATTCTGGAAATATCGGCAAGACATACGATATGAAAAATGTACTGAGCAGATATGCCAACGACGTAGTGGCCACGTGTGCTTTCGGCATAAGTGTGGATTCCTTCAAACATCCAAACAATGAGTTCCTTCTTCTCGCTAAAGAAGCCGCGAAGTTCACTAGTAATCCTCTCAAAATCTTAATAAATAAAAATTTTCCGCTACTTGGAAGACTTCTCAGATTGAAACTATTCAGCTCAAGGATACAAAACTTCTTCAAAGAAGTTATTGCTGATACAGTCAAGACTAGGGATGAGCAGAAAATTATTCGTCCGGACATGATTCATCTGATGATGGAGAAAAGAGATAAAGATCACGGTCTTACGATCGACATCGACGAGATGACTGCCCATGCATTTGTCTTTCTCATCGCTGGATTCGATTCGACATCATCAGCTATGTGCTTCCTAACACATGAAGTCGGAACCAATTTTGATATCCAGAATAAATTGAGAACTGAGATTGATGATATTCTTACTCAGACTAACGGAAAACCCACTTATGAAGCCATCAGCCAAATGAAATACTTGGATGGCGTTGTAAACGAGACTCTTAGATTGTACCCACTGGGGTCTTTTCTCGATAGATTATGCGTGAAAGAATTTATATTACCACCAGCGACTACGGACGGGGAACCGATCACGGTGAAGCCCGGAGACAACATCTGGTTTCCGCATTATTCTTTGCATCGCGATCCTAAATATTATTTTCAACCGGACAAGTTCGATCCCGATAGATTCCTGAACGGTGAAGTAGACAACTCGGTTTACATGCCGTTCGGTATTGGACCTAGAATTTGCATAGCTAACAGATTTGCCCTGATAAAATTAAAGATTATGATATTTTATCTGCTATGGCGTTGCGATCTCGAACCCGATATTAAGACTAGGATTCCCATAGTATTAAGCAAAAAATCTTTTGTGATGACGTCGGAAAATGGTTTCTGGTTAAAATTGCGAGCGAGGAAATCGAAGACTCCTGCTACGTAGCTTTTAATGAAAGTTTGATGCAAAGATTAACTATATGTATAACTTTATTTTAAACAAGGAATTGTATTTAAACTATATTTTAATATATTCAAATTAGTAAATCCATATATATAGTATTTTTGTTTAGAAACATTTGATATAGGAAGATTCAATATTTCAAAATTTATTTTATATATGTAATATATCAAATAAATAACATATTTTTATTTTAAACACTGTAAAATAATATACGTATATATGTATATATACGTATATATATTCTTATAATATACATCGGTTGTAGTACTATCAATTAAGAAAGAATTATAACAGCAATAAACTATAAAAATATAAGGTATATTAAAAAGATAAATTTTTACAAAGAATTTATTCTTTTATTTGTAAACTGAAATCTCATATCCTCACATATTTATATAATAATAATTAAAAATAATTAAATATTGAACGAAATATTTGCTTGCCTCTAAGAATATTTAACGACAGCGTAACAGAAATTAGATTTATCTATTATTGTTATTAACATTTAACCTAATTAAATTTCATTTATCAACAAAATAACTTTGCGATTAGATATATGTACGCATATGATATCTATGTTACAACTATGATAACACAATTGATTTAAAAAAGGCCTTTAGAATACATCTTTAAACATTTTATATCTCATGCACTTCCAAATAAATTTGTTGTTCCAGAGCAGATAAAGAGCAGTCAGTTTCTGTATCTCGTGCATTATACATGTTTTCAAACAGTAAAATATATCGCTTGTTAATTAAAAATCTACTTTTTGAATTGTCCTCTTAACGAGAAATCAGCAATATTAACAAGACTTACTAATGACATTGTCTTCTCATGTAATCGATTGATAAATCAATGATGGAACTCTCTACTTTGATCTTGACTATTCTCACAGCATGTATTTGTTTATATTATTTTCTTAAACAAGCTGTTACATTTCAAGAGACTAAAAGTTTCACACGTGCAACCGATTCCGTTGCTGGATAATATGACATCTTTCGGCATACATCTTTGGCAGACAATGTACGCAGAATGTACGACCTCTTTCCGGATGCGAAATATTTCGGCTTCTACGATTTTATAACGCCGGTTTATGTGATCCGCGATCCAGATCTTACGCCAGCATCACCATCAAGAACTTTGACAACTTCTGCGATCATCGCAACTTTGTGAACGAAAGTAAGATAATGATCAACAAAAATCTGTTTGGCTTGCGGGGCGATGTTTGGCGCAAGATGCGAAAGCTTCTCAGTCCTAGTTTTACATCTAACAAAATGAAAATGATGTTCGGCTTAGTATGCGAGTGCGCCGATAATTTTTCTAATTTTCTGATGACAAAATCTGGAAAGATTAGCAAGACCTATGATATGAAGAAATTATTGTGTAGATATGCCGATATAGTGGCCACGTGTGCCTTCGGAATTAGCGTGGACTCATTTAAGCATCCAAATAATGAATTCTTCATAATTGGCAAAGAGGCTTTCAACTTCGGTAGCAGGCAATCTTTAATAATCTTCCTAAATAGAAACTTTCCGCTGCTTCAAAACTTCTTAAATTAAAAATGTTTAAAGGTAGTAAAATTCTTCAAAACCGTCGTCAGCAATACAGTGAAAGTCAGAAATAAGCAGGGAATTTTTCGTCCGGACATGATTCAGTTGATGATGGAGACTAGAAACAAAAATGAATCTACATTTGATATCGACCGCTCAGGCCTTCGTTTTTTTCTTCGGTGGATTTACTGTATCATCATCTATGTGCTTTTTGGGCCACGAGATTGCTGTTAATCTTGATATCCAAGACAGACTGAGAGCGGAAGTGAATGATGTTCTTAAGAAGACTAACGGCAAACTTACTTACGAAGCCATCAATAGTACGAAATACTTGAATGCTGTAGTGAATGAGACTCTTAGATTGTATCCGATATTGACTTTCCTGAATAGAGTATGCGTCAAAGAATTCGAATTGCCACTAGCGATTCCGAAATGGTAAGCCGATTATGGTAAAATCCGGCACTAGCATTTGGATACCGAATCACGCAGTAAATCACGATTCTAATTATTATTCGCAGCTGAATAAATTCGATCCCGATAGATTCTTGAAAGATGAAGTAAACAACTCGGTTTACGTGCCGTTCGGTCTCGGGCCCAGAATATGCATAGCTAACAGATTTGCTTTGATGGAGATGAATGTCATGTTGTTTCATCTAGTATGACATTGCGATCTTGATCCCGATATTAAAACTAGAATTCTGATGGTATTCAGTAAAAAGGCCTACTTTATGACGGCGGAAGGCGGTTTCTGGTTGAAAATACGAGCAAGAGAATCAACTCCTGTCGCGTGAATGAATCGAACGAATAAGGAATTGAGGAGACGAGATAAATTGTATTCATAATTGCATCATAAGAATGTTGAGGCAAATCATTTTTTGCCAGTTTCTAATTTTTCATCTTTTTAATTAAAACTTCAAATTAAAATTCTGTTAAAGTAAACTTAATTTAAAATTAACTGAAGAAAATAATTTTGTAAATGTTTTAACTCTATATAATTTAATTTTTTAAATTTCTCTTCTTCACAATCTTATAAAGAAATTTTTTTAATCTAATTCAAAAATTATTAACAACTTAATATATTTATTAAGAAAAAATCATTTCCAAATTAGGTAAAAAATCTGCTCTAGATATCTGATAGTTTGATAAATTCTGTATAAAATATATAAACAAACAAGTTAATTTTTGTCTTGTTTTTGTGATTAAATCAAAATATTATATGAAGTTTATTAATTCCTTTACCATCTAACTTTATAAATGATTGTATTATCATCTGTAGATATAATATTATTATGTTTTTAAATAAAATAACAATCCTTCGAACGACATCGATTATTATTTATTATACACTCTGTTATTTTTCTTTAACGAGAAATATTATATGTATATATATATACTATATATATATATATATATATATATATATATATATACATATATACATAACATTTTATACAAATGTTTCGTAGAGAGATTTCATATATTTATTATAATAAAACATGGTATATTCTGATGTGTTATATATTCATGCAAAATGCATTATCTAAGAGAGAATGTTCGTTTTAATGTTCAATGTTTGATATACAGTATCCATTTATTTCTATAAATATTGTTACGCTCGCGGCGAGGATTTCGAGCGCGCGCGTAACAATATATACACTTACATACATTTTATAAGAAAGATATTTATATTAACATTAAGATCTCAAATCTATCGCATCGTTTACTTGTATATATTCAATAGCAGTAAAATTTATGTAAAATATATTTATGTAATTTATGTAAAGTATATTTATGTTTATAAAAGTGAGTAGAAATGATATATTTATTTCTGCATGTATAATAACGTGAATATAATTACTTAATAATTAAATATGTAACAGATTCGAAACAGATTAAATATTATAATAATTATATTTTAAATTAAGATTCTCTCAGGATCTCATCAGGATAATTTTACAGAGTAACTTATATAAAAATTTCAATTATGTGATTACATTATGTGATTTGTTGTTAATACACATAATTATAATAAAATATAATAAATACATTGAAACACATAGAATATGCTGATAGTCGTGTTAGTTAATATAAAATAGATTTACAAGTCTTGAAACAGTCATGTTGCTATGTAAACGAAATGCGCATTCAAATCATATTTAATATTATTTTATATTAACGGTTATATCAATGGATATATAACTGTACTTTTAAAATAAGCTTTATTTTTTAAAAAGACACTATTGGATCACTATTTTTTTCACTTACACGTATACATAATACATATATATATATATATATATATATATATATATATAACCTATTAAGATAAACAATAGTATAATTATTTTAATTATATTACGATAATTATTATATTAAATAATATACTAAATATTATACTAAATAATTTTACATAAAGTCGTATTATTGTATTTATTTCTTTATAAAATTAAAGTGCATCTTATCTATAAAAAATTTTTTATTTTATTTTATATTTGCATTTATTATTTTCTTTTAAGACAAAACTTGGTCTCTAAGCAATGTTAAATTGCAATTTTAATTCATAATGGATAATGTAGTATCTTGCAATTTAAATTATAATTTTGTACTTGATGGTAGTTTTGTAGGGTTGATATATACTTATGAAAGGTACATAATTTCTATATACTTGCTTTTATAAATACTTTAATTCTCAAAATTTAATTCCTATAGATATAATTATCTAATTGAAAAGCATTTTAACTATTTTATATTTAAACTAAGACTTAAATAAAAATTAACAGTAAAAAAAATTCTGACAGAGGATTGACTTTATTTCAAATATTAAATATATCTTTGAAATATATGTGGAAAAGGATTAAAAGAAAACATTAATTGAGTTTTTTATATTTGTATAAATAAATATTCAGATCAACAAAACATATCGAAATATATTCCAAGTAACATTATTTTAACATATAAGGATTATTATTTATTAATAAAATTAACGAAAAATTTTGATAATATTAGTTGGTATCTTTTAGATTTCCTACAAACATATGACTGTTAATATATTATAATAAAATGAATTTTTTTCCATTCAATGAGGAAAAAGAGGAAAAGCACGAAATTCATATTATAATTTATTTTTAAGTTGAATAATAGTCAATCAAACTCACATATATATTAGGAATGAAAAATATCTTTTAAAATGTTGAAAATAGTTTTGGTTACAAAGATAATGTTAATATTACTATTCCAAGCATTTTATAGATATTTATTAATTAAATGTACATAGATTGAAAAGAACACAATGCACGAGAATTTTGCCCCACATACCAGAGTATAAATAAGACGATGAGATCGTTCGAACCGCACTTCGATTCTTGTCTTCGGTTTTATGTCAGAAAGGCAATAAATACTGAAATCTATATCCATTTCTTTTAAAGTTTCAGAAAATGATAGAATTTATTTTAAAATGTTAAATTTATCTATAAAAGTGCTTATAAGCAAAAAATTTAAAATATATTAATTGTATA